ATAGGTTCTGCTTATAAAGCTTGTAACTCAGAAGATTCCTGGCCTGGGCATTTGTCCCTTATGTCACTGAAGCTTCTTCTTTCCTGAAAAACCCTGAATCTTTCTAAAAGATTCTAACCCAACTGCTTTTATGCTTAGCTTTGATTTTAAACAATTGCACATATACCTTTTGAAGAAGCAGTTCACTGTGGTCTGGAATGTTTTTAAAATCCCTGTTATTTGTTAGATGTTTCCATCATCAAAGAATTTTTTCCTCTTTTCCATTTCTCATAAGAAAATTTCTATTTTATTATGACAAATCAATGGTCTAAGTATGGAAATCCTTTTTCACTTATTTTAGCTAATTTGTTTATGGTCCAACTTGAAGAAGTTGCCATTTCACTTTACTCCATCCTACAATCTTAGAGATCCATTATGCAGATAACATTTTTATGGCCTTTAAGGAGATTGATTTTATCAATAGTTTTTCTGTCATTTAAATGCAGTCCACTCCAACATCATGTTCACAGTTGAAAATGAAGTTGGTGAAAAAATGTTCCTTTTAAATGCTTTAATTAAAAAAATAAAAATGTATTTCATATGCTTTCCATGGTCCTTTACAAAAAATAGGAATCATAAAGACCTTTTTTTTTTCATACAGCTAAAATATTTGTTCCCCTCAACAGGCTTTGTAATTAAATTCTATTCCATATCAACTCATGGACTATCATGAGTAAAACAATGTCAGGACAGCTGTCCATCCACCTGATTCTGGATGAATAAATCAGGTCCAGCCTGCTTCTAAAAATAGGGTTTCATAGTCACTCATTGCACTTTCTCTTGTGTTGCATTCCTCCAGACTCCCCATTGTATTGCCTTCCCCTTTGTGTTGAGTATGAAAGTCCGTACCACTTACCAGCTTCTAGCTACTGGGGTGGTGGATCATGGATGAGCTCAATTCCACTCAGTTGAAAGTAGGGTGGTGGTGTTCTTTCAATGTAGATGGTGTGAACTCTCCTCCTACCCTGGAACAGACATCCTTCATGCTTAGTTTAAAACCTCAGTGCTAGCCTTTTTATAAAAATTGAGTTTTTTTGGTCATGCATTGCACTGTTTTACAGTGATTCCCTTCTTCAGACTCTCCAATGAGCTTCAACTCCCCATTATTTTCTTTTAGTGGAGCTTGGGAATCCTAACTACTAGGGTGGTGGACCATAGAGGATGCTTTCTGAGTGTGACCATTTCTACTCAGTAAGGAGTAAGGTGGTAGTTTTCAGTGTGGTACAGTTCACCCCTCTCCTTGGCTTTCCCCCATGCTACCACTATGTGGAAGTCAGCTTCCAGGGTAGTCTGGTGTAGGATTGGTACAGGACCAGCCAACATAAGTCATCACTTAGTTGCATGTTACTTTCCCATTCTTACTCACTGGGCTTTAGATGAAGAAAGTGGGGTCTCTTCCTGCTGCAGCTTGGAATCCAAATTCCTAGTGCTGCCTGGTTTTGAACAAGAGCGGACCCATCATATATGGTCTGATGCACCCTAGCTACACTACACGTATAGCACTTCTTAAAACCTGATGCAAGGTTTGAACTGTGCTTGTATCTTTAACCCAACCTTGTGACACTTCCATTCCTTCCTAGGCGATGAGTGTATCCTTAGCTCCCACTAATGTGCCCTATATTGTTTCAAGAGTTAGTGTGACACTCTCCATGGGTTCTCTTTGTGCACATCTTAAAGGGGGGGTCACCTATGTAAAAGTTTTTACTGGTCTCTCTTCAGTGTGGGATTCTAGCTAGATTTTCCAATATTGAAAATTATTTCCAATAAAGACTCATCTCCACTTACACTTCTCGTTCTTCTTCCTCATGTCTGTCGTATCTTACTTTCTTACATGATGTTGAGGGAATTATTGAGTAATCAGTATCAAGGTAGCCAACAGTGCTAGAAGGCAGTGTTACACTTCTATTAATGGAAGGTTGATGCATGCAAAAATGCAGCAATATCACATGGAAACATGTGAGATTAGGTGGGAGTCTCAAGGTAAGTGGTGAGTGAAAAAGTTTGTTTACATAGGGCAGCACTGAATTGGGAAAGCTAGATATGAGAAGAGGTATCTATTGGAAATACATTTTCAGTGTTGGAAAATGTTACCTGTTTAAAATTCAATGTAATTCTAAGACAGAGTTTAATTAATTAGTATAGAGCTTAAACATTCAGATGAGCAGAAATTGTTGCCTTGTAGTTATATACTTTTTTTACATCTCTGGTAATTTTGTACTACTGTTTTTAGTTACTGGAACGAGCAAGAGAAGAAAATCATAGACTTCTTGAGTTGGTCAAGGAAAGGGATGATAAGATTCTCTATTTGGAGCAAAAAGTCAGCTCATTGAGTCGTGTAAGTATTGTTAATGATTTACAAATTTAATGAAATGAAGCATTAACTTCAAAGAAATTCCTTGAAAAAAATAGTACTTTTATGTGTTTTTAAGTGTTTTACACTCACAAAAAAGAAACCTATCATTCTATAGGTATTTGAAGAACTTGTAGCATTCTGCCACAATTTAATTCTTCGTATTTTTAGCCAACACTAAGCAGCTGATACATAGTTCAACAGAGTTGTTTAAACATTTGTTTAACAACAACTAAAAGCTTGGGGTTGTGTCTGTGGGCCAGACTAGTTTCGGAGAATTCCACTCCTCATCAGTGACCCTGGACATGACCACCGAATGAAACTTCAGACCAAACCAAGCCTTTATAGTAGTGAGGTATCGAAAATCGAAATGGTGTTTTTAAGTGTTTTACACTCACAAAAAAGAAACCTCAATTTTATAGGTATTTGAAGAACTTGTAGCATTCTGCCACAATTTAATTCTTCATATTTTTTAGCCTTTTATGTTTAAAAAGTTTTGCAAATTCATTTTTCTGAAGAAAACAATATAATGGTAAAAAGAAATTTATATTTTTTACATGGTGTTTAGGTCCAGTTTGTGTTTTTTATATTTTATTTTTGTTTAATGGTGATCAAGAATGAAAATATTAACTTTAATTGAAGTACATGAAGTTAACTAGTAATGAAGATATGCAAATTTTATATAGAGTTTGTAGTTTGGAAGAAAAGTTGGAGGCAATCATGATTAAAGTAGATGCAACAGATAAAGAGAAGTGTAGATTGTGGGAAGTGGCAGCAGGATTTCAGGAGGAGCTTGAGCTTTTACATGCAAGGGATACATCAACTAACAATGACTTTAAGGAAGTTAGAAGGAATACTGTTAGGGCTAAAAGTAATGAATTTAGTTATAATGAGCCTATTCTGTTGAGCAACAAATTTTAGCCCTTGGCTTCTGCAGATGGGGAACTATTGGAGAGAAGGAAAACAAAAGGGTCAAAGAAGGATGTGAATGATAAGGAGGCTATAGTTATAAATGATTCCTTGATAAGACATATGGATAGAATAGTCTGTGGGGTGAATAAGGAGAAAAGAATCAGATTATGCTACCCAGGGGCAAAGGTGGAGGGTATAACTGACAAAGCAAGAGATATAACAAAGGGGGCTGGCAGAGATGCAGTTTTTGT